CACAGGCATGCGACCGGTGTCGAAGTAAGAAGATCCGCTGTGATGGAGTCCGACCATGCTGTACCCAGTGTGCCAATGTCGGCTTTGAGTGCAAGACGAGTGACAAGCTGAGTCGGAGGGCATTTCCCCGAGGTTACACAGAGTCACTGGAGGACCGCGTCCGTGGGCTCGAAGCCGAAGTACGAGAGCTGAAGGATTTGCTGGACGAGAAGGACGAGAAGATTGACATGCTCTCCCGCATTCATAGCTTCTCTCCTCCCTCTCGCAAATGTTCGTCCTCCCTATCGCCGTCGCAGGCTGTACAGGTCAAGGAGGAGGTCGAATCTGCAAGAGAAGAGGTATTGCATGTTGAGATCCCAGCGCCGGTCCAACCCAAGGTCTCCTCAACTGGTTCCTCCACCACACTATCCTTCATTGAAGCTTTTGATCAGAAAGTCCAAGAAGCTGGCCGGCAAACGACTGGTGTTTCGTTATCAGGCCTGCAAAAGGCCGTTCAGCCGACCCGTCGCACCTTTACTCAGGGCCCGAAGGTGCCGCCCAGAATCCTGTCGGATCAATATATCAGTGAGCTTTGACACATGGGTCTCGCCTTTCCCGTCCCGTTTTACTGACTAGCACAGACCTGTTCTTCCAGGAATGGCAACCTTTGATGCCGGTGCTCCACCGCCCAACTTTCCTGCACGTCTATGAGCAGTATCTCGCGAACCCCGAATCAGGACACTGGCAGGACAACAAGCAAGCATATGCGCAGTTGTTCCTCATCTTTGAGATCTCGGCATTGTCCAATATCTCCACACCGAAGACCAGCACCCCCTCATACGAGACCCAATGGCGCAAAGCCCTCTACTCGACCTCATCCAACGCCGCCCTTGCGACATTGCAATGCCATATCTTGGCTCAAATCTGCTACATCCTGCGTGCCGACTACACTCATCTTGCGCGACACCGCGGTATTGCCATCACCATGTGCCACGAACTTGGCCTTCATCAAGGCCACAAATACCACAGCTTGTCGCCGCTTGAGGCCGAGTCGAAGAAGAAGGTCTTCTGGTGCCAATACGTCCTCGATAAGTAAGGCTCTCCCAACCGTGATTGTGGCATACGCTTTCTGCTCGAGGACTGCATGACTGACATCAAATCAGATTCACCTCCGCTGCTACGGGCACTCCTGTCCTCCTCCGAGATAGCGATATCACGACCGACTACCCGGCCGATGTCGATGATGAGAACCTCAGCACTCAAGGCTTCTCACCCACCCTTCCCGGTGAACTTACGAAGATCTCGAGTGCTCTAGCTCTCTTCCGCGTGTCGAGGATCCTCTCCAAAGCGCTAGACACCCTATATCCTGCGAAGGCCAGCTATCAACTATCCTTGACCAAGCTGCACGCGCTCTCTGATGAGCTCGATCAGTGGTCAGAGGAACTTCCTGACCACCTACGCTTGCGCTTTTGTAACGACAAACCTGCCACGAACCTGATCAGCTGCAGATCCCCGTTGTTGGTATGTCGTCGACTCCCTTGTTGGTCTGGTCGCATGCTAACCGTTACACAGTCGCTGGCTTACTTCTACACGAGGAGTCTGGTTCACCGACCGCTACTATGCCACGGTTCAGGCAGTGCTTCCTCAGCTGCCGGCATCCTTCTCGCAGCTGCCGGCAAGCACGTGCTACAAATCCTGGATCTGCTGGAAGAGCGCCACATGCACTACACTTTTCCGTTGAGCAAGACCGACCTCTTATTGAACGCGGGGCTAGCGATACTCTGGCAGACGTTGGACTTGGAAGATGACAGTAAGCTCGTGAAAGACAACCATAAGTCCCTGACCATGGCGGTTGGCATGCTGCACACGGAGAACGTTGTGATCGCTACGGAATTTCAGCAAGTCGTCGCCTGCTTCATCCCAGGCGAGGCGAGACCTGCCTTGGTGCCAAGCACGACTGAACCGGCAAGCGTGCCAACACCGAAAGTGACCCCCACGATGCCTGCTCCTGTCGATTCGAAGTCGAAGTCGGCGAGGAAGCAACTGCAAGCCATCGCCTCGAGATGGTCCTCGTTCAGCAGCAGCAAAGGCAAGGCTGAGGACGTTCCTCGACGGGCCACTGTGCCCCAGACCGGACCTACCTCTGTTCCTCAGGTACATCGAGCCGGTAGCAGCGTTAGCCTATCATCCACTCGGTCGGCGCCGGTAATGATGCAGATGAGTACACCTTCTCCGCGTCAAGTCCACGCCCCCAATCCCCTGGGAACGCCCACTATTAATCTGGACTACTTCACAATGGGAGATGACTTCGGTGATTCGCAAACAAGGGCGTCCTCGAGCACGATGCTGCCTCCCAGAAAGCAGGACACGACTCCGACGATGGCCGACAATTCCGGCTGGGAGCACTTTCTCGACGGACTCGACCCCAACAGCGTAGCAGTCTTCCCGGAGATGTCGACCAGTGGCCAGACACTGTACCAAGTCCCCAGCAACGAATGGGCGCCAGACACGTGGCAACTTTCGGGCATGGATCTTCCCACGAAAGCACCCGTGCCCAAAAGCCTGCTTAGCTTTTCCGAGGAATCTTTGACCAGCGGCGACGACTTCCTGTTCAGCACCGCTGGCAGCCACAGTGGGTCCATCGGGGCGGCCGATTGTCTGGAACTGCCTGAGACGTACCGCGGCATCACCATTCCGGTGGACGATGACTTTGATTTTCACGAGTAAAGGTGCTGGTCTGTGTAAAGCGAGGTTGCTTGAATATTGGGCTGGACATGTTTTTGCTTCAACTTGTGGTGGAACGCTCGGGATGAAAACTGTAAAGGAGATGATACCTTGTACGCAGACGGAAGACCATGGTGGTGGAAATGTCATGATACCCCGGATTCGGAAAAGTTAAGGGAGACAGCCAGTGCCTGTGTCTGGAGACGAGATAATGATATCATGGCCTGAAATGAGGAAGAAGGCGGCGTTGCAAGAGTTGTAGACGGTCACAGAAGGCGTCTGCGAAGGATGTGGGGACTCGGTGCTCAAATACGCAGAGTACAAAAAGTCGATCAATGTATGTACGCCTTGATTTATCTTCGAATATGGAGACTTCGCTTGACCCTCTTATGCCTCTTATGATCTGTTAGCAAAAGATACAGCATGCTCCAGGCCAGCCCATGATACCACGTGTTAGTCACGTGATTATAAGGTGACCAGTCTCTCTCGCATCACTGAATCCTAAACATCTTCATACCTCTGACTCTGTCATGATCCTCCTGACTACTGTATAGCATGAAGCGGACGAGGGTACTCGTACCCCGATCTGCTGCGTTAGCCCGACAAGCCGAATCACGATAGTGGTGCCCGCTGTCTCATCATCCCAGCTTCTCTTAGCTTGACCTTGCAGGCCATCACAAACACCTTCGTGAGGTCGACACTGTGGCCAGCTTGCCGTGCGTTGAATTTGCCTTGGCCCAGTCCCGCAGTGCCGGAATCGTGGCCTGGGAAATGACTTGCAGAGACGACATTTCATTTTTTATTTTTTTTTGGTCCTCCTCATCATATAGTAGTGGTCTGCGTCGATATGCAACTGGAAACTCTGTAAATCGATTTCTCGTCCACTTCGGACCTCTAACGTGAAGACAGACATCGACCCTTACACATCCTCCGTACACAAGCGGGCGATCGCTCCGGCGGGACGCTTTACAGCACTCCCGTCCGAGACATCGCCTTTGATTTCGATGCTCTCTGTTAGCGAGTCATTGACCAATGTCCGGGGGCGGCATCAACCTCAGGGTGTGAGAAGAAAGAAGTCTCATCTTCACCACCGACAATGGGTGGTGTCTTGTTGCCATACTCGAGTCACCCTGTCCGGGCGGCGGAAGTTGACAAACCAGTCAGAAGTTGCGACATCCATTCCCGCCAGTCCAGAGGGAGGAACGAGACGGCAGAGGGACCCGATCGGCCAGTTCCTTATGCCTCAAGTGGCTGTGTCGAGGTGGTTGGATGACTCCCTGTTCTGGCCATGTCGATATTGCTACCGGACCAAGAAGGACGGTGCTGTGACTTTTCGCCACGTCTAGTTGAGACGTCCCGGCAATGGGCGGATCTTGCCCCCCTGGGACGACCCCTTTCGTGGTACCGGCTGCTGAGGACCTTGTCATCCATTAACAACACTACAGAAGATTTGTGGCGGCGCAGGAGCTGAAGCGCGATCTCTCACACCTGCTGAACGCCGCCTCTGATGGGTGGCTGCCTCCAGAGGGTTAGGTGGCGACTTCACCGGCACATCGCGGAACACTTGCTAACATGCTGGAAGCTGTGTTGGGGAATAGAGACCTCAATGACAGCGAACCGACAGGGATGGGATAGATCTGAGGGAGGTCTGGCCATTTGACCTTGCAAGGAGCAGCCACAGGAGCAAGAACATTCGCGGCTCTTGCACTTCCGTTGGTAGAGCCGCGAGGTATGATTCCCAGACACGGCTGCGTTGTCGATTTCAGCGTCCGTGGCGGCTTGTACTGAGACAGCGAAAAGAAGTGAAGAATGTCCGGCTAGCGACATGCGTCAACCACACGCCGGGGTCATTCCCTGCGCTCTGCAACTTGGCCGCAGGGAAAAGCAGTCCGGGCAGCGAGTCCAACGAGGGATCTTCGTATTCCAGATGTGAAGCATGCGCGGAGCAATGTGGCGCTGCAGCTTCGCTTGAATCAAGTCCCGTGGCGCGGTCAAGTTAGGAAAGTGCAAAAGCAAAAGGACCATCGTTCAACTCGCTTGGCGCTTCCCTGCAAAAGACTATCAGTCCCTGCAACCTCGCCATATCTTCACTGGCGACGGCATTTCTGCTGTGAGATTTCAAGGATCCTTCTCTGAGCAGTGGGAGAAGAAGGAGTGTGCCTTGCTGGAGGCTGTTCGCGGTGTGACGGCTCACGAGGCTGCTCGCACGAATATAGATTGACCTGGTCGACGAATGCGTACAGACTGCCTGCCGCATTCCTCCACGCACCATGTTCAATCGGTGACTGCTTCCTATCTCAACTATGAACGGCGCTGGGTGGAGTCAGCCATTCGCACGCCTCCCTCCAGAACTCGACGCAACCGTCTGCCTGTCGATGCCTGAAGGGGAGGAATCCATCCGCTAAACGCAGGACCTCGGCCCACCGCTCCTTTTGCACAGCTATTGGACTGCTGCGAAGCTGTTGGATGTACCACGGGCGAAGCGCGGACCCCCGACTGACGTACCCGCCGAGGATGCTGGCCCAAAGCAGCAGGTCGGGACACGACAGCCAGCAGTCACGCTTGTCACACTCGTCGATCAACAACATCAAGCTGCGGGAGCTGTTTCGGTGGAAGGCGCCAACAACGGGCAACGGCTCGAGGCATTCGGCCAGAAAGACCACGACCGCTGCCCGACAGAGATTGAAGAGGAGGTCGCCCCCAGTCACCACGGTGAGCGCTTGATGCTGCAGGAGACGCCACGTCGCGACCAATTGCCCAAAGTCTACGCCGGCGGCAGCATCCTGGAGGACCCTGCTATATGCGTTCAACAACGCATGCACGTCCTGGGTGATGGACACGAACCGCTGGCCATGGCGTCTGTTCCTCAAGAACCGGAACCCCTGAGACACTTCACCCGTAAGAGGTGCAATGGAACGGAGGGATTCGAGCAGGGGACCGGGAGGGAAGAACAGTGGGAACGTCGGTTCTCTCAGCGTCAACATCGAGTCTACCAGATCGATTCTGTACTCCGTGAGTGAGTGAGTGAGTGTGTGCGTGAGAGTCGCATTCGAACAGTTGGATGACAATCTTGGAAGGGGCCCGGGATACGCACGTGAGGATCATCCCAGCAAGAGACTGCATTCCAACATGCCGAAGCCCACCCCTCTGCTTGGTCAAGCACAAGAGCGCATGCAGATGCGTCGGCTCCCACGTCCTGCTGCCATAATACTCATAATCCTTCATCTGCTGCGGTCCGACGAGCGTGCTGCCCTGCGTATCCACCGGTGGACCGTGAATGGCCAGCAGCGTAACCGCCAGGAGCACCGTGTCTGCGTGTGCGCGAGCGTCTGCGCCGGTCCCTGTGCAGCGGTCGTCCGCCGCCGTCTCGATCGCCTCGCGGACTTGTCTCAAAGTGTCATGGTACGCGGTCATGCGGACAAAGTTCGAGGCCGGGTCCCTCGCGCCGAAGAAATACTGGTACGACGATCCGGCGTAAATGATGGCCGACGCCAAGTAGGCGTGTTGGAGCGCGAGGGTGACGGTCGCTGATCGCCATGTCTCGATGTCTTGGGCTCTGCTCGATAGCGCGAAACTTGGCCACTGCTCAATTATGGCTACCGGCAGATTAGACGCGGTCGTGGACATCAAATTCAGCGCATCATGAGTGTGATACAGCACGGCACAATACAGCACAGTTCAAAGCATGGCACGCAGGGGATTCTAACACAGCGAGACATGACATACCGCATCGGAACATCATCTGCGACTGCCCAACGGTACTCGTACTCGTACTCCGGCCATTTCCATTTCCATTGCCATTGCTGTTGACAGTGAGCACGTCGAACGGATCGAACAGGCCGCCGCTGGGGTCCGATCTCGGCGAAGGGCTCGTCGACAAGGACTGATCTCCCTCCGACGACGACCGTCTCGTGACTCTCCTACCACCGCAAATGCTGGTACTGGTGCTGGTACTTATACCTGTGCTTGTACTTGAACTTGGCCGCGGGCGTGGGCGTGGGCGTGGCCGGGCAGGGGATCTATTCCTCTGAGTCCGGATCCTCCGATGCGCTACCGTCGCGGCATGCTGGTGTCGACGGAGGGTCAGCTCCTTCTTGTCGACCTTGGAGTCATGGTCCTCGCTGGTGTGAATCAGGAAGGTAAGTTTCTGGTGGGGAGCTGGATTTGGATTTGAATTCGGATCCGGCGCCATTGATGATGTCCCGGAGAGATCGGGAGAGAACAGGTGAGAACGGCAAGTTTTGTGCCTTCTGGATTATTCTTTGGCCGGGGCAAGGGGAATGACCTCGCTTGCACATAGCTCGCCGGTGTAGTGCTTTAGCCTGCGTAGCTGCACATGGACTGCGTCAAGCGAGCAGAGCGCTCTCTTCCGTGGCGTTGTACACTATCGTCTCGAAACCAGGATATCAGAGGAATAGAAGTAGGGAACAAGCCTGTGCTTAGGAGTATTCTCGTCCGATCCGGAGGCCAAGGTATGTATGAAGGTAGACACAAGCGTGAGGTCCAGCTTGAGGTTCAGCCTCAGATCAGGCTCAGGACCAGGCCAACGTCAGTCTTGGGGTTGATGATGCTCAGTACCGTACTCCGTATTTTAGTTCGAATTGACCAACCCAGAGCAGCAAGCGTCCTTGAATGTCGTGACAGTCATTCATTCATTCAATAATTCATTCAATACAACAATACCGTAGCTTGAACGTCAAGTTGGTGAAGTCGGGAGCTTTGTGCGAACGAACGAACGAATGAAAGAGAGAAGAGAAAGCTTGTACTCCATACAGTATGGGAGCCTGGCCGGTACCAGCGTACCAGCGTACCAGCCCAGCCCAGCCCAGCCCAGCCCAACCCTGCTGCAGTGCAGTGCAGTGCAGTGTAGTGCAATCCTCGTCCGTCCGGTCGAGCGGGTACGTACCTCCTCATGGGGAGTTCGGTCATCGCCACACGACGCGGGCTTCTGGTCGGGTTGGGATGAAGATACAGTAGAGTCTGATCAGATTCAGCGATTTGTCGACTTTTCCACCTTTACTTAGAAAGATTGACCTTCTGGGATTTGTCGACTAGTCTCTAGTTCTAGCTTTACTTATAGGGATGACGTTGTACGATTTGTCGATTGATGTGTGATTCTAGCTTTACAGAGATGACCTTCTGGATATGTCGACTGTCTGTGGTTCTAGCTTTACTTATCGAGATGACCTTCTAGGATTTGTCGACTGTCTGTGGTTCTAGCTTTACTTATAGAGATGACCTTGCGTTGAGGTTGAGAATGAGGTTTCAATGCTACTCGTCGTAGAGACCGCTACAGTAGCTATAAAAAAAAATTACAGTCTCAACAACAGCCAGCTATCCACACACCCATCAAGGTATCGTGATGGTTGGCTGGGCCGGCCCACATTTCGACCCGGTCAAACTGATGTTGTCAATCGCAAAGTCGATCCTCGTCCCGTCCGGCAGACCCGAGCAATCCCAGCTGAAGACCAGAGTCGAGTCCGAACACGGCGGGATGAAGCCGACATTCCAGATCGAGGCCCAGGCCGGTTGGGCGGGTCCGAGGTATCCAATCAGCTGAGGTTCGCCCTCTCCGTCGAGAAAGAACGATAGGTAGCAGGGACTAGCTCCTCCGTTGTTGGAAGCGGAGGAGTAAGAGATGCTATAATCGAAGTTGAGAGAGTAGAGTTCTCCGGCGACCAGGCCTGTGATGTCTTGCGAGACCGAAGGAAGCACCTCGTTCGTACCGGAAAAGACACTGGTTGTTTGAAATGCATCGATCAGCAGAAGTCGGAAAGGAGTTAATAGAGAGTACTCGGTCATAGCAACGAGACCAACGTGAATGCGAACCAAGTGCGTAGCAAGGGCGTGGAGATACGTACACGAACTTCTGGCCATTAGGCGTCTGGTACCCATCGGGACCACCGTTGAAATCGAAGTACGCTGATCCGGTGACGGTCCAGGCACCGCTCGTGATGTCGGTTGTCAGTGTGTCGTCGTTGGGGGCGGCCTCGAAGCCGCCATCAGTGACGACCTCGACCATCTGCCTTCGTTAGTGGTTGCTCTCGGGATATTTAATGTAAGCTAGAGACAACAAAGACATACCGGCGTTACAGTCGGACACGCAGAGGTTGGGCAACCGCTTGTGGTGGTGGTAGTCGCGGTCGTGTTCGTTGGTGTTGTAGTTGACGAGGTTGTGGTTGAAGAAGAGCCGGAGCTTTTTGTACTAGAGATGCTAGGCGTCGTTGTGGAAGTCGTGGTGGAAGCCGTGCTGGAACTTGTCGAACTAGAGGTGGCAGGTGTCGAAGTTGAGGTTGGGGAAGTCGTGCTGGAGACTGTGGTGGTCGTCGTGGAGACTGTGGTGGAAGAGGTACTAGAGCTAGTCGGACTTGTAGAGCTGGACAAGGAAGAGGTCGTGCTCGCTGTACTCGTCGACGCAGGAGTCGAGCTTGTCAAGCTAGTGTTCCTCGACGCTGTTCAAGACGACGTTTGCAAAGTCCGTGTTGACGACGTAGTGGAGCTACTTCTTGAGCTTGACCAAGAATGTGTAGTGGGATGACTTCTGGTACTGCTTGGGGTTGAGGACAGACTCGTAGACGAAGTATGTGGGGTGCTTCCTCGTGAGTGGCTCCAACTAATGGTCGCGGAGGTCCCCTCGGACGAAGTACTCAAATGTACCCATGTATGGTCGCTGCCTGCGGAAGGCGGCGTGGCAAATGAATGGTGTGGCCTTGACGCTGTTTTGATGGTTCTTTTGGCTCGGGAGGAAGACGCATGTCCTAGATGGCCGCCGTCTTCTGAGGCATGCGATGTTGACAGAGGATGCCCAAGTCCTGTCTGGGAGAGGTACAAGGGCACACGAAATGTGTGTTGGTGATGGTCGTCGTCACCAGCTCCCAGTCTTTCCAGTCGGTCAGCGCCTGCCCTTGACATAACCCGATGGCGCCTGCAATGGCGGTGGTTCAGAACAGTCCCTTCATCCTAAACACGCTGAAGCCAAGATCAATCGAAACGAATGGACGGCGACAAGATGTCCCCAAAAGCGAGTGGACGGTCCCAGCAGGGCCAAGTTAGCAACGCTGCAAATACACACCGAGAATCTTACAAACTCATCTCAAGGAGACAAGAGTTGCGCAGCGAAAAGAAGAACATAAGAGCGCGTCTGCAATCCGACCAGCAAAAGCCGAGGTTTGGACGACAGAGACGGACGCCAGACGTTCCTCAGCTCTCGCAAATCGCCGCCACCGAAGGGCAAAGGCGTCGTCCAGTCCAGATCCGAAATGGCGTTATCCTCGTGGGTGAAGTCAGCCGAGCACGCCTCATCAAGTTCGATAGTGGACCAAACGTGGCTTAGTTGCGGCCCTGCGCAATCAGACCCGCATGAATAGGGGAATACAAGTCGGAGTTATGCCTCATCAGCCGCAAACAGATACTGCTTTCCAACCTTCCAGATAGCGGACGGATCCTGTGAAAAGCTTGAAATCTGGAGCTCTGCAATGGTGAACCCTGACGGAGCCGCTGTCTGGACCGCGAACAAAACGGTTGAGTAGTGGATTGCCGAGTGGGACGGCCATCCCCATCATTTGTGCAATCTTGATACTCACTTCGAGTGCAACATAGCAGCGTCAGCGGGACGACGACCTTGTGGGCCAGGTACAGAGTCTGAGGAGACGCAGATGGAGAGGGTCTGGTTTACACAGTTCACGGTTGACAAGGAGAGAGATCGTGGGAGTTACGAGAGAGACAGAGAGCCGGGTGGCGAGGTGGAAACTAAACTACTGGTCACGTGATTGATCTAGTCCTATCTTGGAGTGAACCAATAGACAGACGCCGCCACCGTTGGATCCTATGGAGCCATCACGTGATTTGTCTCCTTTCTCTCTCTCTCTGCACCCGTTGCGACGCCCTCTTTTCAGGTTATCACGGACTATGCTTTCGTAGCTGATGACCAACGTGCTTTGAGTGGGAGCTGACACTCTCCTTCACGTGCCCTTACCGGCTGTTCACAATTTGGAAGACCCCTGCAGCAGCTCGACTGCCGCATTACTGATGCACGACTTGCCAGTCTCTTTCACCTTCGCCTGGTATACGACCTTGCCTCCCTCCTTCCACATCTCGGTGACAATGGTCTGGCCCGGCAGGACCGTACCGCTAAATCTCACCTTGATGTTCTTGAACGGACCATATGCCTGAAAGACGTGTTTACCACTGATGCCAAATGTTGCCAGGCCATGCAGGATCGGAACCTTGAACCCACCAGCGGCCGAGAACTTGGGATCGATGTGCAGGGGATTACGGTCACCCATCAGCCGGTACAGCGCGGCGAGGTCGTCCGACGTCTTCTCCTCGACGACCTTGTCTGGTGTACGAGAAGGAGGAGTGTTCGCTGCGGTCGAGGCTCCACGGTCCGAAGGTTTCTTCTGTCCGCCAAAGTTCCCAGATCCGCGTATAAAGGCGACGTTTTCGTTGTAGAACACGGGCTTGCCTGCGCTGTCCAACGTGGTGGAGCCGCGCCGCACCAGCGCAGCATTCCCTTTGTCCACAACTTCGATCAAATGCGTTTCGGTCTTCAGGGTGCCCGATGTGGGAATGGGGAACTGCTTGATCTCCAAATATTGTTCACCGTGGAGGAGCATTCGTTGGTCATAGTTGGGTACGATGTCCTTGACGCTCCACGGCGTCGTCGCGGTGTAAGTGGGCACTATGCCAAACGTCGGGAGGACCTGGAAGTTCGGAGCGTTCTCATAGACGAGATCTAGATCAGTTCGATGGGCACCCATGGAAAGGTTGTAGAGGATGACGTCCCGATCATCGTAAGTATAAGTGGATGGGGTGGGTTTCATCGACATGGCTTCCTGAATCTTGGCAATGTATTTGCGATTCGCACGATTCTCCTGGGATAGACCCGCAGCCTGGGACCGGTGAGTGTTGACCTTTACTGCATTTGACCTATCACAACTTACAATCTTCGGGTTCTTCAGCACGTTGCCCATGGTGTACTTGCTTCCCTCTTGTGGCGTGTCTGGATTGTCGGCCTGTCCGTTGTCGAAGTTGCAGATTTCTGGGAAAGCCTGTCGCTTGCATGAGCAGATGTTCCAGGCAGATACCGATATCCCAGTGGTTGCACATCACTCACCTCTGCGACTTGTTCGACGCTCGGCACACCCTTGTCGTGCTCGAAGTCGACGCCTCGAGCTCTCTGCCAGCGCGTGGCGCCGATCCATCCGCACCCGGACTCGAATATCTGTCCCGTGGCCGGTGGCCTTTCGCTGCACAGTGCGGCAACGAGTGGCGCGACGTAATCAGGTTTGACCAGCCGGACATTTTCCTCGGGCCACACTGTGCGCGTCATGTCGGTCCCCGCGGTCGGAGCTAGCGTGTTGACGACTATATTATACTTGGCTCCTTCTCGAGCGATGGTCTTCGTGAAGCCGACTATGCCGCACTTCTACAATAGAAGTCAATGGACTGTGTTTGGCGATGTATGAGGAGAGACTTACCGCGGCTGCGTAGTTGGCTTGACCGAAGTTGCCATATATCCCGCTGGTGCTTGTGATGTTGACAATACGCCCGTATCTTTGCTTCAGCATGATGGGGAAGGCAGTCCTGGTGATCAAATATGTTCCACGCAGGTGGATGTTCATCACGTCGTACCATTGTTCGTCTGTCATGTTGGTGAAAGCTTTGTCTCTCAGGATTCCAGCATTGTTGACGACGACGTCGAGGCGGCCGTAAGTCTCCACCACTTTCCGCACAATGGTCTCCCCTTCCCCCACAGAAAGTGGTAGAGCCAGCGCTACGCCGCCGTTCGACTTGATCTCAGCCGCAACTTTGTCGGCATTCTTCACGTCGTTCACTGCAACCTTCGCGCCGAGCTTAGCGAACAGCAGACTGTACGCTCTGCCCAACCCAGCGCCACCGCCAGTCACCAGGACGACCTGGTTCTTGAAGCTGACCGTCTTGCTCGAATTGGACGTTATTCGGGGTAAGGTCTTGGCCTTCTCAAGCATCTCCAAGAGTTTTGCCGGCTCGCTGGGGTGTTCCGCATCCTTCCAATCCACGATCTTGTCCCAATTCTCCAGGATCCCGTCGGCAGTCAAGAATTCCGGGTTGGTGAGAAATCCTTTGCTGCGCTCCCACCGGATCTTGCTGTAATGGCCCGCGGCCGCCTCGAAAATGCTTCCACTTTCCCGACACTTCTCGTTGACCAACACCCCGACGAGAGGGACAACCCAATCTGGCTTCATGACTTCCATCATATCCTGAGTCCACACCGTCTGCGTGAGCCTGCTGGCGGCACCCGGCGCAAGCACATTACAGGTGATGTTGTACTTCGCTCCCTCCTTGGCCAGGGTCTCGCTGAAGCCGACCAGGGCCATCTTGGCAGCGGCGTAATTGCTTTGGCCAAAGTTGCCAAAGAGTCCTGATGAAGACGACGTGTTGATGATCCTGCCATATCTCTGCTTACGCATATATGGCCATGCTGCACGGGCGGTCTTGTAGGCACCGTGCACGTGCACATCCATGATAATGTCCCAGTCCTCATGTTTCATGTTTCGCAGCGTGATGTCTCGGAGAATGCCTGCGTTGTTGATGAGGATGTCGACGCGGCCGAATGCGTCGATGGCCGTTTTGACAATTCTGTCGCCCTGCTGCACGGGGTCGTAGTTGGCCACCGCGACGCCACCAGCGTCTCGAATCGCCTTGACGACGACATCTGCAACCCTCGCATCGCCACGACCGCTATCATCCTTGCCGTTAAACGACCCGCCGAGATCGTTGACCACGACCTTGGCTCCGCGCGAGGCTAGGAACAAGGCATATTGCTTGCCGAGCCCGTTACCAGCACCCGTGACGATGGCGACCTGGTTATCGTACCGCAGTTGGGAAGCCATTTTTGTTCCCCTATGCCATATACCACACGGCTGAAAGTGCCCTCACCAGAATGCAATGGGATGGGACATTATAGAACAACTTGCTCTCGGTTGTAAGCAACCACGGACCGAGGCACACGCCTCTCTGGGAGGGGCTCCAGGGGGCCAGGCAGTCAGGTACCTACTAGTAACTTACCGGCTTCTGGAACCTGCAGTCCACCGGAGAAAGCATTACCATTGTGCCATCACGTGGTCGGCGGTATAAATCCCCGCATTTGCCCCCGCGCTCCAGCTCGACTCACGTGCCACTCCAATCCCGATTCGCGCTTGTTCTGGCACAACTGCTGTAGGTATTGTGTACTCGTGCTGTGGACGACACCTGCGACGAGCTCTGCCAAATACTCCATCAAACACGAAAATGGGAGGTCAGTGACAAGAACAGTGTGATTGAAAAATGGGTGACTCTGATGCGATATTTACTGCCGCCGCATTTGTGCACGGCAGGCCCGGATCGGTTTCGGTCTCCCAATTCTCTGGCAGTCGAGCTCAAGTTCATTGCACTGCAATAGCCGCATATGGCGAGTTATGATTGGCGGAAAACTCCTCGGACTTCTGATTTTGTGTCTGAATGCAAGGACAAGGCGGGAGTGCTCACTCGGACCGAGGCAGATGGATTGGTGCAGTGCCACTCACCAATCACTCAGCTGCAATGAGGACCAGGTCAACAACGATGGGTAGAAGGGGAAAGAAGGGTATTAACGCGAGAACTAACTCCCTCAAGTTTCCTAGGGCTGGTGTAGATGGTATACACTCTGACTTTGGGTGCTCATCCATCATTAGGGATCAGATATGAGTTCTCGTAGCAGCACTCATACTCCCTGAGTTCAACACATAACACATGGACGTCATCCACAGAGTGCAGAAATGGGAGTGAAGCGCAAGCCTACCTATCAGTTGAGAAGGCTGCGCTGCACGAGTACGAGGCAGAAGGTCGCTGAGATAGACAACCATCGACAAATTCTGTCATGAAAAGCCAGCTTGTTGAGCGGCATTGCGTCCCGGGGCTGCGTGCTGTGCCACTCAATATGTGAATCGCTGAGCAGAACTGTCTGACAAGGCGATTTTCGAGCGATGGCCGATGCGAGCCGTGTGTTTTCCCACACGGGGCCGTGACTATACTCTGTAAGATTCATGTCAGACGACTCCCCGGCCTCCACAACTCAACTTCGATTGATACTTGACATGCATGGGGATTGCAACTCATGCTCCAAGATCAAATTGCGCGCCGTGAGCCTTAGGTAACAGATTGGACTACTCGTAGAGCTCCAAGCTTGAAACGCGAATAGTAAGTTACAAGGTAGCTCGTGCCGAGATGCGTCATGGAACTGAGCGTCGGTAATGTCGTCATAATTTCGACATTGAGATCACAGCGTGACGAGCACCCGCAACGAAGAGAGATGACTGACATTCCACTGACCAGTGTGAACCACGGTGATTACTGCCCGCTGCGTGGCTACGACTCGGTAAGTTGCAGATCAAGTGACGACTTGGCCGCCCAAGTCTCGGTTCACTTCTCATCGCTCCACATCGGCGTCTGCACTTCACCTCACCTCCCTCGAGTCAAGGATACCACAGTACACTACACTACGCTACACTACGAATCTTACCAAAAGCCATATCCACACTCCGTACGCCGTCCACGATGCCTCGCCTTCCGAGCTCCCTTCTGAGGCCCCATGTCCTGCCTTCGGCCGCCCTTCGACAACACCCCCGCCTCCTCTCAGTCACCCGTTCGCTCTCCTCTACAGACGGAGGCCAACACTCCGAACCGTCGTCCACCGACGACAAGTCCACAACCCGGGCCCAAGATACGGGTCCCGGCTGGGGTGGTCGCGAGGGCCGTGACCACGCCGTCAAGAGACCGCCGTACGATGTGCACGCCGAGACGGCCCAAGAAGGGATGAAGGAGCATGAGCAGGGTAAAGAGGGCAGTGACGCCATCTCGCGCAAGGACGAGCGGAAGAACCAGCAAAAGGCCAAGGAGGAGTTTCCCGAGTCGCCCGTGGTGATTGGCATGAACGAGGAGAGAGGGTCGAAAGATCACTTCTGAGGAGGCATCCTTTGTAAATAGCAAAAAGGGGAATCATGAGCATCAAAAACATGGCGTTCATTGCATGTGGTGTGGACAAAATTGATGGCAACGGAATCTCTTAGGTCGACCATTGACAGAGGAATTCATCTTGCATGCTTCATGTTTCATTATTCCGTCCAATCGTGGCTCTGGTACGTGGCTCGTCAGAAGAATGGACACCACCGTCACCGTCCGACGTGGAATGACAGGATATCGTTCGTTCCGACCTCGATGATCGAGTCTTCTGCGACTCTCCTTCCCCCGTCGCCCTCGATGAAAGCAATGGGAGCATCGCCCATGACTTTCCGAGCCACGTCCGCCACCGTACTGCCCTTCTTGACGAGCACGCAGTCTCTGAAGACAGCGGCCGTGCCGGACGTGCCGCCGGAGCCGTAGGTGTGGATGTTCTTCACCGGGAAGACAGGCACGAGGCCCAGCAGGGCTGCCGCTCGGGTCAGGACCTGCACCACGCCCGTGCTCCCGAAGCGATAGAGCACCATGTCCTTGAGGTTCTCGATCCGCTGCGCGAGCTTGTCGTCCATTTCTTTCAGGCCTCCTCCGTCGGGATCTCCCTGTTCGATCAGATCCTCCCGCGTGTCCAAGTACTCGGCGCCTTCCTTGTATTTGATGTAGCCTTGCTTGGCCAGCCGTCGGAGAAAGACCTCGGATATCGCGCTGCAGAGGACGATGCTCTCCGCGGGCTGCTGTTTTGCGATCTTTGCAATATTTCGATCTGCGTCCGGGTGGTCGATCTTGTTGAGCGCGAGGACGGTCGGGAACTTCTCGTCCGTAAAGGCGTTGACGACCCTCAGGATCGTCTCGTCACTCCATTCCTCCAGCGGCTGCTTGAGCTGGAGCTTGTCCAGCGTCCTCGCGACGACGGAACTGTTACTGCCGTAGCCGGAGAATTGGGCCTGGAGCGTCTCGACAGGCGAGGCCTTCACGGCGACGTGCCGTCTCTTGATGCTCCCCCACTTCTCCATCAGATTCCCTTGGATCCATCGCACGATCTCGCCGCGCAGCCATTCCACGTCCACGCTGGGATCGTAGCCGCGCGTGGCTTTGCCCTCGGCGTCCGTGGTGCCGCTGACATCGACGACGTGGATCAGAGCGTCCGCGTGGCGCAGGTCGTCCAAGAACTTGTTGCCCAGTCCTTTGCCCTCGTGCGCGCCGGGCACCAGTCCCGCCACGTCCAGCAGTTCTATGGGCACTGATCGCTTGCCGTCGACGCAGGAGCCGTAGTTTGGCCGGCACTTGTCCGTGAGGCCCTTGCGCTTGCACGCGCAGTCGACCTGGAGATAGCCCACCGCTCGTTGGGGATCGATGGTCGTGAATCTGAGAAATACGAAGTTTAGTCCCGGCCGACAACGTGGAGGGGTGTTGTGTGTGGGACTGGATTGATAGAGGGACGGTGGTCACTTCTTACGGGAAATTGCCTGCGCAGATAAATCATCAGCCTAGTCCAAGCCACCTCTTTACAAGTACTGGAGAGAGCCGCAAATCATCGTCATGATCATCATTGGCGGCGCGCGCACTGACCGACTTTCGAACTCGCATCCGTCAAGCTGTAGAATGTGCGCGCGTGCGTCAGCTAATGTACAGTATGTAGGCTGCCGACGTGGCGCGAGAGAATGTTTGGGCAGTTGGCAGTAATTACGTACCTGTTCAGCGTGGTGCTTTTCCCGCTCGACGGCTTCCCTACGAGACCGATGAGGGGATCTCGGGGCATTGTACGGAGTCAGTACTCCGTAGGCAAGCGAAGAGAAGGGAATATCCAACTGAGGCAGAGCAAAGCCAGGGGGCGCGGCGCAGGCTGCTGGAGAAAAAGAGATGCAGGTCGTGCGTGGCTCACTCCCCGCTTGACCGTCGGCACGACGATGATGCCGTCCTCACTCTCGCTCTCCCTTTTGTCTTCGGACGCACACACACGCGCACTGTTGGGGACGTGTAACTGCGGCAGTCTATCGTTGAACTACCCTACCAGGAGTATGGTTAGAGACACCGTGCGGCCACAATACTAGGGGAGCTAGTCCGGCCCTTTAAGAACTGGCGAAGTCGTTGCCATGGTCCCTTGTTCAGCGACCGCGATGCCGACAGCGCGAATACGGAACGCCCTCATGGCCGCCTTGTCCCGGGACACCAAACGGCAACTGCGCCAGAGAGTCAAGAGTCTTAAGTCCTCCTCCAGATGATTCACATACAGCATCGTTAAGTGGCCACCGCAATAGCAAACCGCCTACAGAGTACATACTGAGTATCTTCGACCAACCTTGTTTTTACCGTTCAAAGACCCCAGAATCCATACCACAATTGTTCCTTCATCATATGAGTAGCAACGCTATGTGCAACAAGACAATATCGTCCTTTGAATCCAGCGTCTTATCGTCATTCCTCATTCAGTCGTAGCAGGATGCGGTCTTTGGTCTGCTTCTCTTCCAACGCTCGTCAGTCCAATGCTTTGTTTGGAGCCTCTTTGGTGCTGCCATTGCTAGCATCGTGGCCATAGAAGTCAGAGAAGACAAGTTTCTCCAAGTCGTCTGCCGTGACTCCGAGTTTGGCTGCCCGGCGACGGAAGTATACACGCTTGCCCCACTTCCATCCCTCGACGCCGAGGAAGAAGAGGAAGGCTTCTACGAAGACGACACCCCATTCCCAAGAAATACCCGTGTGCTTGAAGACACTGTGATTGATCACCTAGACGAAAATATTAACCATGCTTCCAAACCACGAACGGGGAAAAAGATTGCCGCCTACAGGTATGTATATCGTGGGAAAGATGGTGACGAAGCCCGCAATGATAGACCAGAACAGGAACTTGTTCCGCCAGACGTCGTACATCCACTGGGTGAAGTATTTCTTGCTGTCGGGTTGCATGCGGAAAAAGCTCTTGCGCATGTTGACCATCTCCCACGCGAGGAAGAGAGCGAACCAAGTCAGGCTGACAAAGGTGGTGGCGCGTGCTCGGAAGACCGTGTCGCACTGCTGGGAGTAGCTCTCGTTGCAGTTAACGCCCAGATCTCCGTTGCCAAATCCGTACACCACCAGAAGGAAGGACGACAGACACAGGGCGGCCATCCAGACACCGTAGGCCAGCATGTCGAAGCAGACTTCCCAGGTAAAGACGCCGGCCTTGAGCGAGATCGGTGGTCGTTCTAGGATATCTGGGGCCGCAATCTCGAGACCGAGGCCCATGTCGGGCAGACCGGATGTGATCATGATGACCCACATGATTTGGACGGGTGCGAGAGGGAAGACTGACAGGCCCGTACTATCCTTGAACGCGAGGCCGATGAGGAGAGTGCCCGCCTGGGCGATGTTCTCGGCCAACAGGTGAAGAATGAACTTCTGGATGTTGTCGAACATGCGTCGACCCTCTTCAATGGCATTGAGGATCGAGGCAAAGTTGTCGTCGGTCAGCACAATGTCGGAAGCTTCCTTGGCCACGTCTGATCCTCCCTGGCCCATGGCAATGCCGACGTCGGCGATCTTGAGCGATGGGGAGTCGTTCACGCCATCACCAGTCTGTTAGCGTTAGCATCACGCCACCAGTTTCTCAGGGGAATATCAGAACGGGGAATGACTCACCATGGCCATGAAGGCGTCTCGGCGCCGGAGAGCTTCGATCATCCGAACCTTCGTGTTAGGTGCACATCGAGCGACAACGAGTGGTAGCGCAGGGAGTGCGTCCAGCTCCTCGTCACTAAGCCGGTCAAACTCCTTGGCGGTCATGACCATGTTTTTGGCAGCGTCATGCGAGAGGTGGGACATGTCGGCTGGTAGAATGCCCACTTGGATGGCAATGGCGCGGGCTGTGCCCGGGTGATCGCCCGTCAACATGTGCACTTTAATTCCAGCACGGTGACAGCTCTTTACCGCAGGGGCAGATTCGGGTCGCGGAGGGTCGTAGAGACCGATAAGGCCACGGAAGATCAAGTCGCGTTCAACTTCCTCACGAGGAGGGGGCCCCTCTCGACTTGCCCTGCGGCCGTGCTGGGGGCTGTACGGACGGCTCGCAAGGGCAAGGACACGCAGACCTTGAGATGCCAGAGCCTCCATGTTCTCCAGGACCCTTTCCTTCATCTGGTCGGTAAATTCGACCGTCTCTGGCCCATCCCAATTGGTGCGGGTGCAGGAGTCAAGAATTCCTTCGACCGCACCTTTGGTGTAGACCATTTGCTCCTTGGTGTCCAGGTCCTCGAAGATGGTGGACATTTTCTTGACATCCGAGTCGAATGGGTACTCACTGACCTGCTTGAGCTTAGGATTCTTCTCGTCGAGGAACTTTTGTCTGCTGTAGTCGAACCGGCAAGCGAAGACCTGGATGGCAATCTCTGTTGGATCTCCAATGGCGGACCAGGAGCCTTCCTTGTTAGGGTGGACCCGTGCAAGATTGCACAGCGAAGCGACCAAGATGAAATCCTTCAGCTCCGCATTCTCTTCCAGTGCGTTTGCGTATTCGATCTCGTCACCGTCATTTACACTTTTCTCACCTTGCTGCGCCGGCGCAGCCTCCGTGTACGACAACGCCCCCTGGGTGGGATTGAATGGCTCGTTGGAGGAGCCAATGGAGTATGTGCCACGAGCAGGGATCCAGCACTTCTTGGCAACCATTTTGCCTTGGGTTAAGGTTCCAGTCTTGTCTGAGCAGATGTCGGTAACAGCTCCAAGTGCTTCCAGCGATTTGATATTCCGGACGATGACGTTCCTGGCCACCATCCTCTTGGTTGCCACGGCCATAGTGATGGTAAGAACCACGATCAGGGAAGCAGGAATCATAGAGAGACCTGTTGCAACAGCGTAGATGATCACCTCGGGTCTGTCAGAGAATTCGTTGGCGGCGAGGACGATGATGGCGCAAACGACGGCAATTCCGAAGAGCAACATGGCGAGGCGGGAGAGTTTCTTCTGAAGCGGCGTCCCGACGTTGACGCCTAAAAAGCGCCCAACAGCATCGGTGAACGTGAGGGTCCAGGACTCGGCGTGGCGCAATGGATGTGTAGTCCCGTCTGGTCGTCGCTTGGGCTCGCGCACCTTTGAGTTCTTTTGCCGAAGCGCTGCTGCGATCGATCCGATTTCCTGCAATTCATTCAGTCCATGTCCAGGAGGGTATGTTTATCCTAGAAATAGTGCAATTGAACCGCATCTCGCTGCCGGACTTACAGTGTACATGCCCGTTGAGAACACGATTGCTCTCGCGCGACCCTTTGTCACTGTAGAAGACCCATATGCGACATTCAATCGATCTCCCGGACCCGTGTCTTCATCAAATACGGCTTCCTCGTCCTTGACGACGGGCAACGACTCGCCGGTGAGGAGGGCTTCGTCGGTCTCGAAGTTGATGGATTCGAGCAGTCTGTAGGTTGTCAACGAGTTGAAATCGGCACAAATATTCAACCAGCATTTGGCTTACCTGACGTCCGCGGGAACAGTGTCGCCCACTTTAAGTTCAATGAGGTCTCCCACAGTGAGCTCTGTAGCGGGGATAGTGGAATTGCTGCCATCCCGAATGACATTTGCGGTGGGAGAAGACAGTGACCGTAGCGACTCCGTGGTCTTCTCGGCCTGAAACTCTTGGAAAAACCCGACGACAATGTTCAGGATGATCACTGCTGTGACCACGCCGCCTTCAATCCAGGAGCGTATACCGAACGAGACCGCCATGGCCATGATGAGGACCAACATCATAGCATTCGCAACCTGGCGAAGCAGGATCTTCAGCGGTCGTACTCCTCCACCGCCCTCCAGCTCGTTGCGGCCAAATTCTTCGAGCCTCTGGCGCGCGTCTTCGGACGACAAGCCATTCTGGGAATCGGTGTTCAATTGCTGCACAAGGTGGTCCCTTTCAAGAGCGTGTGCAGGCTTCGTCAGCGGCTTGTTGCTCTGACCAGACACGTGGTTCTCCATAATTGCCTGCTAACTGGTAACTGAGGCCGCTGGCGAAGTTTACATGATTTTGGGAAGGGAAAAAATATAGGAACGCTCCCAGAGATAATGCTGTCCAAAACCACGCTTGGCATCAAAGCAATGTTGACGGTGGGCCATCATCCACGACGTAATCCTTCCAACTCATTGGCCCTGTTGCCATGTTGGAAGTGGCGGAAAGCCTCGTCCTCGGGACCCAAGAGGCGGAAAAAGGGTCTTAACCGCTTAGCAGGAACGGCCATTGGATAGCGACGCCAAAACACGCCTTATGGGGTTCTGGGCAGGTTGCAAGCGTGAGAGAGTTCGACATCATCGCAAAGTTATGGGGGAGGGAGTGCGCAAATCTTGGTCCGAGATTGGCTCGCGAGCTTGACAGGCATCTGATGGATCGGTTCCTCGCAGAGGAGCCGAGAAACTTTTGTCGGCAGCATGGCCCACGGCCAAGTCTGCCGCCAAGGGCCAAGGAAGGCGGAAGACAGAAAGCCAAGCACCGCAACTTGCGCCGTGTAAGCGGACCATTCTGGTTGGACCCTGACCTCCGCTGTGGTGTGCCGTCCTCCCGGAGCCGATTTTCCACCCTTTGGAAATATTACCTGGGACTGACATGTGCTGGGTATGGATTTGGGTCAAGGACCCTTGAGGACAGAAATGAATGTGCCCGAAAATGCAATGATAGCCCTAGTAGTGCTCCTGCTGAGCGCCCACAAGATCCCAATAGAGGACTTCACGAAAGCAGCACAGTGGTGTCATCTGTGCAAGTCTCTTATCAAGCTTGACGCGGCTACGGCGCCGAGAAGGGGGCCAAGCATTGACTGTCTTCCCGAAGTGGAGTGATTCTTGCAGTTCTCGAATACCAAGCAAGCATCAGGCCAGGCCGCTTGGTATGAGTCCATACCACAGGACTTCCGTGGGCAAAAGGCTCCCTGTATGAATCTGGGCAGTGAAAGCCCTGTTGCTGCATTACTGGGCGCTCTCCACAGTGTGCTATTGTCAGGAGACTTTGGCAATGATCTCTCCTGTGATCGCACGCATATTGATTTCTTCCCTGCAGCACTCGAGTTTGTCGGATAGACGGCCATTTATATCCTATGTCTCACCGCTCTCTTCTGGGGGACAGTACAGCTATTACCATCTCGTCTGGCCAAGGGTAATGTACTTACCCGCAGGTGAAACGTTTCTTCTGGCAAGAGACCTTGCAGAGCGCGACCAGGAGGATGGAGACGAGGGAAATTATCACGACGTCGTCCCTTACTTGATGGTTGGCGCAGTCGTGGTTGCGGTCGTGGTCTTGTACAACTTGTTCGTCTCTGCATGATAGCGCATTGATTTCAGGACCTAACTCGCATCGTTAGGTTCCGACGTTGTGCTCGCGCAAGAGTGGCGCGAGCAGACACATCGATCGAGAGCCACCAACGCATTGGCCAAAGAAGCAGTGAAGATTCGATTCACTCGAGACTCTCTTCAGAACAAACAGTGCGCACCCACCGCCAGTCGAAATCAAAGCCGATCGCATACCTCAGCGCAAAGGAGATTGATGAAATCGCACCCAAAAGACGATACGCCGACAGTGGTGGTAGAACTGGCATGGACATGCCGAAAGTTCCGTCCTTGGACTACCCGATCAGGCCCCCCTGTACTGCAGTTCTCGCGCCTGAAAAGCAAAATGAGCACCAGGTGTCACCGAGCGAGGAGTGGGTTGAAGGTGTCGAAGATACCAGTCGCAGCTCTGCCGCCGTTCAAGGAGAGCTGCCGGACCTGTTGTTCGATTGCAGCATTTGTTTGGAATTTTTCCAGCCTGAAGCTTTTGTCCGCGAGACCCCATGTGGGCACGTTTTCCATGCCCGGTGCTTGGAGTGGTGGCTGGGGAAATATCGTGCTCGATGTCCACTGGATCAAACGGACCTGAAGGGGAGGTCGAAGCCACGGACGACCATGACCGAAGCGAAACAGTGCTCACGCAGAGGTTTACCCCTGTGTTAGCGCTGCAAAAACAAAGAACTTTTCCATACCTCGATTTCGTACTTCCTCATGTAAGTCAGAGGTCATCTCGAGCAGAGTCAGGTCGGTAAGCTGCGTACACACCACGTCTTTCGTTACCTCTGTGCCCGGTGCTTGCATGAGAATAAAAGGCGACGAGAGCTCGCACGAATGTCCCAGACGCGTCTTCGCACCAAAGTACCTTATGTACCTAGTCAATTGTAGCAGTCTCGCCAGATTCATGTGGACGTTCATTTCGAGCAGATTGACGCATTCAACAGCAACACGAGGGGCGCGCATGACGCTAAACCCAAAATGATACTGCGCGTTGTGGGCCAATCTCGACTGCTCGACGACGGATCGCAATCTACGGAGTACTGAAAATAAGGATTCTTACACCGTACTGTCAACTCAAATCCCTCCAAAATTCGCTGTGTCTGCCCTGGGGACTTTGGAGGATGGCTGCCCTATGTACGCAGTTGGCTTTCGGATACACCACATAGCAAAGTGCTATCTGGCTGGTGACGGAGCAGCATGGTGCTGTATCAGATTTTCTATCGTGTTGCATTTATTGTAACAGCCTTGATCCATCTTTACTTCAATGATCTGATCAAGGCGACCATCGTGGTTGCGGCAATGTGCTTGTCAGACGCAGAGCGTCCTGTTTTACAGAGCATTCTACGCTTGCATTCCGTGGTGCTCGTTTGCTTCATGCTGGCATTCTGCTTCAATGCAGTCTCGGCGGACCCTGATCAAACGATCCTGAACGGTCGTGATGTCTTGAATGTAGGTGAGCTCTGGTACGACTCGGTTTGGAAGTATGGGATGCTGATGTATAACGGAACAGTTTGACGATCTCGAAACACCTGACGGATTTGGCCAGATAGCGGCTGGGTACCATGGCCTCACATTCAACTATTTCTATGCCTTCCAACCGACGCACCAGGACCTGGAGGGCATCATCTCCGTCGATGACTTGAATTGCGCCGTCTCCAAGCCGAATTCACTGTATGGGTCAAAGATCGCAAATGAGAGCCCGTCCATCCAAGCACACGATCCCTCACATAGATTCACGGTACACTCACTGAAAATCAAGCCGCTGGATTTCCCGGTCGGTTTCGTTACCATAAATCTCCGCGGCATCCTCCCGGAGAGGTTGTCGAGTCCGCTGGAATGGAGCGTCGACTTTCCCGCCGGCTTCCACGATAGTCTCCACGTTCGACTCGAAGAGTTCAGCAAGGTGCGATGGCAAGGCCTCGCAAGGCTTGAAGTGGAGGCGGATTTCCATTTCAACGACGTGGAAATGGACGACTGGGAATTCTGCATCGATGACCTCGAAGTCGAGATGGAGTAAATATCGGGGGAAGCAATGTACGTCGTACTGTGTATGCTTTCCACCAACACCGTATGCTGAGGCTGTGCATGGTTCGCGTCGTTCTCGGATCCTGGAGCAAACCGTTCTCAGGCGCAGTCTCTCAGTTACAGTATGAGTTGCGCTTGACGTACCAAAGACCCCCTTGGAAGCCTCCTCGGAACCTGAAACGTCAGGGATGATCCGCCGTTACCTATTCCTAATACTGGGGTATATGCTTCCTCGTACGAGTACATCATCCTCGTGCCTGAAAGCTGGAGATATCTGTCCCTTGCTGTCACACGACATCCCTCAGGTCAGGCACCGTGGCAGCCTGGTTGGACCGGATCTGGTCATCCACGGCGACTAAGCTGCTTTCAGCAACACTCAATGACGTAGGTCAGCACGATCGGAGGGTTCCATCGGCCTCGAGCCTCTGAGAAATTTCGAGATCAGAGCCGAAAAGCTACAAGATCAACATGCTCATTGGCGCCATTGGCGACCCATAGTGACGTAGAGGCGGGCGCGCCCTGTTTGCAACCCAAGCAGCCCACGCACATAATGTCCTGGCGAGCCTTCTCAAAGCGAAGCTCAACTCGAACACTGAAGAAACATTACGAGTACAACTTGACCGAGGAACACAGTAACTAGCCCAGACTCCTTTGATTCGACAAACCACAGATCAAAACGATCCTTACGCTCAAACAACAACACCATGTCCGACCAAACTTACCACGTCACCGGCGAGGATGTGCGCAAGATTGAGTCCAAGGAGTCCAAATTCCACGGCGGCCAAGTCCCAAAGGACTCCGACACCTCAGCTCTGAAGGTCAGTGTGCCTCTGGACGCCCGAACATCTTAGTTTTTGCGTATAAGGTCTATACTGACACTCTTTGAAGCAACTCCTTTCTGAACAAGAAAACAAGCAAGACACTATCGACCGCGTAAAGGCAAACCTCCCTCTACCCGACCAACCCGTCGGGGGCGCCAGTGCAGATCTACAATCCGCTGATGGCCGCACCGTCAACGTCGGCAGTGGAGGCGTCAACGTCAAGATGGGCACACATTCTTCTGAAGGACTGAGGGAACCTGCTACCGCTGATAGCAGTGTAAGAGTCGATGGTGAGGAGTTCAAGAAGGCCACAGCACCATAGACGCTCCAGGGCGTTTGAACATATATTGTATGAGAAATGGACGCGAATGGACATCTCTGGCAAGAGACGGCATACCACTATAAAAGCAAGTCTATTCTACAAACAACAGAACCACATGCAGAAACCGGGAGCATGGTCTAAGTCGGAGCCTGCAGTTTCATGATAGAAAAATATCGTCGGATAGGCATACAAATTCTCATCTTGTCCCACGGCGTCAACGGAGCTTCAAGACCGGCCATGGCCCAAAGCACCAATATACCATACATGACTTTATGTGTCGCTTCGTGTTTTCTCTCGCATTCGTTGCAATCAATACCTCACGTGACACCTGTGGTGGTCGTTCAGGACTGGCCCCGGCACAATCGCTGAGCCGATTACGAGTATCTCCAGTAAGAGCAACTTCTCTCAGCCAAGAATACCTCGCTCTCAGCCCGTCGTTTGGGTCAAGCACGCCCTCGACATCCATAGACCGCTCTGGCCAGAGCAAGGCAGAGCGGAACATCTCGTAGCTGTTGCTCCATACGCACAGCATGGTATGATGTGAAGACGTGATGATGGGATGGAGCAGTCCCAACAACGATCTCGATATCGTCTCGCTCTTCACGCTTTCTCCTACTTGTACTCTTACTCTTACTCTTACTCATTCTTGGGAATTAACCCCCTCAGACTCAAATCATACACCACATCCTCGACCTTCTTGACGTTATATTTCAGGGCATCGTTCCTGCGCCGCAAGATGTCGTTCTTCAGATTCAACAGCTGGAACCCGGCGTGGACGTCCTTGATGAACCTGGAGATCTGGAGCGGGCGGGCGTAGTCGCCCAGGGTGACTGCGTTGGGAGCCAGGCGGGAGAGTTCTTCGATCGTGTACGTCAATGCGAGGAGGTAATCTTCGATGGTGATGTGGAAGGTATCTTCGTCTTTGACATTGACGGGGACTGTAGAGGGGGAGAGAGAGAGAGAGGGGTCAGCGTTGGGCCTAGACACAAACATAGACACAAGCCACACATATATGTTCTGCGCAGGCGAAGTCACTGACCGTTCAACCGTTGGCCAACCTCCTCCAGAGTGATCAGATTGCCGCCCTTGAGCCAATCGTGGAGCTGAAGGCTGCTGACCACGTTTTGCATATCTCGTTGCCAGATATTGTTCCATTTGTAGAACGGGTACTTTGAGGCCGCATCGGCGAGCGTCTTCACCGTGGCGGCCTGCGCGGCGAGCGAGTCCGCGCACGGCACCAGCACTGCGGTCTCGAGCTCGGCCGTGGGCGTGTTGTGGACGCGGGAGAGGATAGACTGCGTGACGCGGCCTTGCTTGGAGAGGGTGTCGACAATGGCTCGCAGCTCGTCCTTGATGCCTGTCTCTTGGTCGATTTTGGCCTGGAGCGAGCTGAAGATGGCGGGGTCGACGTTGGGAGAAGGGCCGGCCGCCTCGTTGGTCATGGCGGTGTCGCCGGCCATGTTGTTTCACGAGCTCAGGTGTCTTCACATAAGGTAAATAGGTATGAAGTACGGAGGAGACTCAAGACGTATGTCACAAAAGTCTCGACGAGGTCTTCTCGTGAGCCGTAACCGCGTAGAATAGGCCGCAAAGACTCAGAGCAGGAAGAGGAAATTTATTCCTGGCTCCTCTGTCCATTTTTTTTTTTGATTCCGCTCTACGTATCTCGCGACGAGGAGAGGCAATAGTCGTGTGAGACGGTCCAACCGTTCACTGTTACGGTAGCATGAACACTGCTGGGTATATCTGTATCTACCTGAACCGACCCGAGGCCGTGGAAAACACTCGCGGCGAAGCATCCCCAGTCATCAGATTGCTGGCACACATTTCGAGTTCTACGAATGCCGTGCCGAACCCAGTCAGTCCAGACGACCTTCATTCCACAATCTGAATAGCTCTTCTCCAAAGCTTTGCACAAGGCAAAGAAGTGATGAAAAGGTGGTTCGCGTCACAAGGCGGCAGTGTAAGGCCTCGGACACGGTGCAAGAGACTTCTGTGCAAGCACAGGGAGTCTCAAGCGAGATGCAAAAATAGGATTAATCAATGTATTGTGACCGTAGTCACATTCTGTGAGACACACATGTTAGCAGAGCGAACGACTCGGGATGAGGTTGGGAGACAACATACTCAGAGATTAAACTGAAAAGAACAGATACTACACTTGATCTAAGCCAACTGTTCGATCAGTTAGCATCAAACTTTCATGAGACGTGACTGTTGGGGGCTGGACGTACAAGGCAAAGAGAGCTGGAGGTTTCGAAGGGAGTGCGAGGGGAGAGGAGATACTTATACTCGTGCGAAAGCGCCTGCACAGAATTGCTTGGCGGCAAAGTCTTGGCAGAGGACACGCAGTTTCAGGACAGAATTTTTCGATTGGCTGGACCTTCCCGGCTGTGTGTCATTGATTGGCAGAAATTGTGGGTGCGCAATCCAGCGGTGAATGCAAGTGACCCAAAAGTGACCCAGAAGTTACCTAGAAGTGACCCAGGCGAAAGTGAAGAACCGCAGGCAGCAAGTCGGAAGTGAAAGGCAGAGCATCATGGAAAGATGAATAGCCTGTATAGGTTGGTTCTGTTCCCAACGAGTGTGCGAACGAGTACGCAGTTGTCTTGATAATGGAACTTGGACATGCTCAATGACACGACTCAAAAACCCGCGTGCTTCTTCGAGGCCGTCTACCTCACAACACAAAGGCGCGCTCCTGTTGAGTGGATCCAGCCTTTCCCACAACTTTCGAGTCCGCCTTTCATCATCGCTCACTGCAGCATGTGAAGATCTGCCACGAGTGAATGGTCGTTCTTTGCCGGCCCGCAAACAAAATTGCAGTTTCTCCCTAGATCAAAACCATGCCCTTTGGCTACTCTTCCCAATCTTGCCAGTTCCTTCCATGATCTTCATCAGATCTGCAAATGCCTGGGAAAGACTGACACGGGGCTTCGGCTTCAGTTTCAGCTCCTCCCACACAGTGACCGACCTGCACACTCCTCTGGCAGCCCTCGCGTCCCGAGAAGTAGCCCCGGAGGGACCTTGGAGACAAGCCCATACAGATCAGGCAACGCACGTACACCTTACACGGTAGGAATGGGAAAGTACAGATGGACCGTCGAAAACGAGGTCCTATCTTTCTGCCGGCTACACTCCTTCAGTAGCACATGGCAGATATAGTAGCAGACACATGATTAGGACAGAGGCAGTGACAACGCCGGCTTCTACTGCCCCGCCTGTTTGAAATTCGTCCAGATGGACTGAAGAGACGTTATGTGCATTTGCGCCGATACCGCTCGCTTGCTAACTGGACGAAAACGCGCAAACAGCATTCAAAAACATAAGTCTGCCTAAGACGCCGCTACCCACTAGTAATAGTTGTCTCGCCGTGCCTTCTCGACCAACAGAAGACGTTTCTGCGCCTGGTCGCCTTCAGCCTCAACCATCCACCTCTCGATACCATCCACTCCATCATCCTTCTTGAACCAGTATTTGGTTGTGCCATGGTCGATCTCATCCTGCATCTCCCTCAAGGTCCGTCCTTTGAAGCCCTCAATGAACCGACTCGAGCACATCAGCAACCAGGTGTTGACCAGGGTGTCGGGTCTCCTCGGCATCTTGGGATTGCTGTGATGCCAGAAAGCGAGCGTAACCAGACCGACCAACATTAGGCAAAGGATTGCCAAGCTGGCCGCAGAGCTGACGAAAGACAGGTCCTCCATTTGCCCGTAGTTATACGGCACTCCCGCAATGAAGATGAGCAGGAAGTATGCTAGTACCGTGATCAGCGTTACGAAAGCATGGTACCAGTTTCCATGCCACAGGGCCTTGAAGAGCGCTGTGAATGGTACTCCATGCAGGTACATCGTGAACAAGTGGCGGCTCTCGGATGTGCTCTTCTTCAGTCGGCGGTAAGGCGCCATGATCCGTACCGACAATTCGACGTTTTCCCAGAAAGGGATGAGAAGGAATGATGTAACTGAGGTCATGAAAAATCGTGGACCAAACTTGGTGCCGTCCAGGAACTTCCATTTGACGGCTGTATTGTGCTTCTCGCCGTCTGCTCCGAGAAGATTCACTTGGTACACATCGTTGCCTGCAAGGACGAATGATAGGATGACTCCAAACATGGCTAGATGGAGGAAGACGACGAGCGCGACATGGAACTGCTTCCAAGGCACGCGGGACATCAACGAAGGAGTCTCAGTAATTTCGGCCACATCCGTGAGATCTCGATCGCTGCTCGGCGTTGGGTGAATGTCGCTACCTGGCATGTGATGGCTCGTCTCCTCAATTGACCCGGATCCCATGGTGATGCCAACCACGGTCTCCCCCGATAGTGTTTCGGTACGTGCGAACGTAAGCAGTTTCCCCTTGAATGCCTCTTTCACGGCCTCCTCTTTAGCATCCGGGTCGATTTCTCGCAGGGTCCTCGTCATCTCGTCATCGGAATTGCTCAAGATGGAGGCCATACACGCAATACTGCAAGGATATGAGGTCACTCCACTTGGACGGTTCCAATTCAAATAGGCCAGGGTGAGCATTGCCACTGCCACAAGTATTAGTGTCGCTTGCAGGCCACGGACGACTGCACTGTTGATGACCCAAACTGGATCGCAGAGTTGAGTCCCGTTCTCCGAGTTGCAAGTCGAACCGGCTTGAATGGTCATGGCCTCCGATGCGACAGAAGCTTGCAGTCCCAAGACAATGCTGATGAACGTAGTCAGGAACATGACCCAGTGCTTGTTTGCCGGATTCAAGTCGGGCCAGTCGATTCCTCCTTGGAGGTATGGGCGAAGAACGGACGCTTCGGCCGTGGCTCTCGCGCCCTGTTTGGCAAGCTGGTAGAAAGGTTCCATCATCTTGGCTGATGCGAACACGACACACCAGAAGCTTTTGAAGAGCACTGACATCGTAACCGATCCGAAAGTCGCCGCTATTGTTGTGGCACTCGTGACGGGCAAGGGTAATGCAAGTACGTAGTTGTTGTCCTCGTAGATAGGCTGGACTGACCCTTCACCGGTGGATCCGGAGCCTGAGCCAGAACCTGAGCCAGATCCAGAATCGTTAGAATTTGAAGACGAGTCCGAGTTATCTGTGTTCTCTCCTGAATCTGAGTCTACGTCAGCGTTGCTGAAATCCGGGTTGGAGCTCGTCTTGACAGCTGGGTCGATATTCGAGCCTGCGTTCGGGTCCGAGTTATTGTTCTCCTTTGAATTGTCGTTCGAGTTGTCGTTCGAGTTGTCGTTCGAGTTGTCGTTCGAGTTGTCGTTCGAGTTGTCGTTCGAGTTGT